TCTCTCACGTCACTCCTGCACAGAAGCTCTGAGATCACAGGCATTCTCCCAGAGCCCCACACCAGTGCTAACACCTCACACCTGGGAGACAGCCACCAATTCCAGCAATTCTACCTACGACCTAAGAGACAAAATAAAGTCCAGCTCATATTAACAACCAGCTACCTAACATAGGTTAAAAACCTGATTTGGAGCATAAAACGTAGAGGTCCGACACTGGAAGACTGCAGGTCTGTAAGTCCGGGATGAGGATGCCCATGTAGCCCGCCAGCCTTGCGTTCGCAGCCGTAGGGAGCCGAGAACACAGCACTGGAACCACGAGCGTCCCACGGAAAGCTCCGCCGGGAGCAGCCGCCGGCGTTATCCCAGCGCCGCCGCCGGCCGGGGGCTCCGCCCGGGCAGCGCCCGCCCGAGGAGCCGCCTCGCACCGCACCGGGCACGGCACCGGCCCCACCTCCGCGCTCCGCGGGAGCGCACGCACACCCCGGGCGGGCCGAACCCCGCCGGAGAGCGGCTCAGCCCGCTGGGCACCACGCTGCCTCCGCCCGGAGCCTGTGGCCTGGGAGAGCGCCCTACACAAAACACTTGGACACTGAAGGAATTTTGGCTCTTTCTCAAGCCTTTGTGGCCTGGGAAGTCCCTGCTGCCTCCAAGGCTTCCACTGGTTTGCTGTCCATGGAATCGTAGAGACTCCAGCCTGAGATACCTGTAACAACTCAGCTGTGAAGGCACAACCATGGCGTAACCATAGAGTCACAGAATGTGCTGAGTTGGAAGGGACCCATCAGGATCATCGGGTCCAGCTCCTGGCCCTGCACAAGATACCCCAGGAATCACATCATGTGCCTGAGAGCATTGTCCAAACACTCCCTGAGCTCAGAGAGGCTTGGTCCTGTAACCACTTCCTTGGAGAGCTGTTCTAGTGCCCAGCCACTCTCTGGGTGAAAAACCTTGTCCTGGTATCTAACCTAAACCTTCCCTGACTCAGCTCCATGTGATGGCAGTGACAGTTTTTGGGGCTCAGCTCCTGAGACACAACGTCTCAGGAAAACATTCAGCTTGACCTAAGCCAGCACTCAGCACATCACCTGGAGGGCTCAGGGCACAGCAAGAGGCGTCCTCTCAGCAACATGATTCAGGTACCATTGTTCAGGCTGTGGGATGACTGAGGGTCTGAAAGGTTTTCCCACTGTATAACTAGAAATGCATGAGGCTGGGAAACCAATGAAGTGCTTCCTTAGCCTGTTGAAATCTGGATTCTACTGGATCACTACATTTGTAGTGTCTTCATTTGTGTCAAATCAAGTTCAGTGATTGAACCAATCTCAGCTAAATAAACTGAGGTGAGAATCCATCCATCTTGTGCATTTCTGCAACTAAAATGCTGCAAGGTTACACCTGAGAAAATGCAGAGTTGATAACTCCCACCTTCTAACCTTTGGATCTATTAATGTTGGTTACCAATTCCCATTGAAGCAGACTGACCTGCTCTGTTGCAGAACTGGCACAGGAGTAACACACCCTCCTCAGGGATGCAGTGACACGAGTGAAGACAGGTCATGTGTTCCAAAATGAAAGTGAATGTCTCCGGTGTAAATAAAAATAGGTCCTTGTGAACAACATGTGTACATGCCATGAATAGCATTTCCATAACCAACACTAATGGAGCTGAGATAACATTTCCTAACCCCTCTAACAGTGCTACTGCTTTGACCTGATCTGGGCATTTTCCTTCACATCATCCAGTTACTTCTGATATATAAAATCCTTCTGGCTCATTAGACCTGGAAGGAAATCCAAGTTGTTGTTTTCAGGAAGTCAGGGATGTAATTTACTCTTTCAGTGTTAATAAGTGTGCTTCCTAGGGATACTAAGACTCTCACATTGCAAGAATCACATGTGGATTTGTGTTTTCTTTTTTCTTTGCCTCTTGCAGAAGTATCTGCAGCTTGTGCAGATTGGTTTTGACATCTGCTACCTTTCAAACAAAAGGAGCCAATACTGAGAATTCACACTTGGATTTTCATCTGTAGTTAAAATTCACCTCCAAAACTTCCTAGTGTGGTTGCTGCACATACTGATCAAGTAAGCTTTCTTGTCACAGTGACTGTCAGTCCTGTTTGACATGATTGAACTGAAACCTATAGTCTTGGAAGGGAGGAAGACAAAGCTAGTGAGGGAAAGATTTTAGCTGCAAGTTTACAACAGGATATTTCTGAGGAAAGCAATTCCCCAGCATAAACAGTCTGTCTTTCCAATACGCCTCTCTGACACATTTTCGGAAATTTGGTAAAAAGTCCCATCTGGAGCTGTTTTATGCTGCAGATGTTTACACATTTATCTCCAGGAATGACAGGATCTTGATAGCCTTCAGCATACAGCCTTGATAGTCTTCTTCACGTTCCACAGTCCTTTCTCCTTGCACATTACTGGATGGAGAGCATAGCTAGAAACTCAGAAGGAACAACTGAAAAAAGAAACAGAAATGCAATGGAGATGGAAATAAAAACTAATAAAAAAGCAAGTCCAGCAAAAAGATCTATGCTGCTTATTAAAAAATACAAATAGGAGTATTTTAAAACTGTTTGAACTACCCTGACTTGCAAGGATACGAAAGCTGTCTGAGTTCCAGTGTTTTCTTCAATTAACAAGAAGAGAGCATTATACTAGAACACTGTGCTGGAGGCTATCAACCCATCTCAGAGATGCAAGAAGAATAGTTGCGAGGGGAAAGCTGTTGTTGCCTACAGAATGGAGAGGGAAACCTGTGTAGGAGCATAGCTAATGCCAGTGGTGTTTGACTAGAGCTGGGGCCAACTCCTCTCTGACTAAAACCTCAGTTCTGTTTAAAGGAATTGCCAAGTAGGCTTGCTAGAGGCAAATGTATAACAAATGGTTCATGAATTTAGGTATTTCCAACCCATGTATTATAATTTAATTCATACCCTTTTATCTCTAAACATCTGTTCTTATTTTTTGCTTAAGATGCATTCTAAGGCATATGAATTTTTTTTTTATAAAGAGCTTTTATAAGAGAAATGTTGGGCCACTGTAACTTCCAGTACCAGCACTCGCATGGCAAATAACTTGAGATTCTATCATTCTTGGCAATGTTTCTTGGCCCTTCTTAATCTAAGAATGAACTGTTCTTGAATCATTTCTCTTGGACATTAGGCATAAACAGAGCCTCTTTTCCCTGACTTAGTGTCTGATTCAAGGTCAGGTTCAGGGTTGGGGTTGTTTTGGAGTCTTGGGGTTTTTCCTCGCTGTTGAAAAAAAAAAAAAGTAAAATATCCCTCCAAATTTCTGCTTTTTTTCTACATGTCTTTCTATACAACGTAATATCAACACAATGAAGTGTAACAGCGTCATGTCTACACTGAGCAGAATTAACTAGGTAATACAGCTCCCAGTTTGAATAATTCTGAAGTTTCAGGATTTCTCTAGTATCTGAAATAGGGTCAAAATGCAGAGCTACTTTATTAACAAGTATAAATCTCAGCTGTCAGATCAGTGAAACAAGGAGTTTTATCAAATTACACAGCAGGTGGAAGCAAAAGTCAGTGCATACCACGACAGGAGAGATCTAAGTTCAAGTGCTGGTCCATAAAACAAGGAGCTTCCCAAAGGAGACAGCAGGTGGAACCAAACACCGAGAGCCAACGTGTCTAAACATCTTGCTTGTCTCTAACATCCTTGCGTGTATCCCAAAAGGCAAAACTTTATCCATATCTGCATTGACCCACAAAGTTTAAAATGTTCCTAACACTGAGAATTAGAAAGTAAATGAAGTGCACTTCTTTCAGTTTTCTGTAACTACATGTCCCAGGGCTAGGTTCAGTAAAAGCTGCCTGCTTCCCCTGAAGCAGTGATGTGAACCATCTGCCAAGCTATAATGTGAGATCAGGTTAACACTTGGACTTGCTGATCCCAGCGGTCTTCTCCTACCTTAATGATTCTGTGACCAAGGCCGGTACACTGCATTTCTTCTCTACGTGTACCCTGAGGTACTGACTTGTGCAGAATGACCATACGCTGGCAGGGTGTTGGTTTGTGTTCTTTTTGAAGGACACAATTTGCAGAGGTGACTACTCAGACCCAAAGCATGACTTTGTGCTTTCTCACACCTGATATGGAGGAGCAGATGCCACCAGTCGTATTGTTCCTGTATTTGGGGCTCCATTTGCTCCACCATATGAACACCATACCAAGTAGATACATCCAAGTTAGTACTTCCTTCAGCTTAAGTTTTTATTCACCAAAGCCTCCACTGAGAAGAAACATGAATACAGAATTCAGTGAAAGGACAACTTTATTTTTCATGCTATATTAGTACATCATGGTTGCTGCTTCTGTAGTTTTGTGGGGCCTGGAGGTAATACCTGAACGAGAAAAACCCAGAAGTTTGGTAATTTCTTCCCTTTTCTTCTATGTTAAGTTTGACATTTCTAGAGTACTCGGAAAAGTCACTGCCTTGCAAAGAAAGTAAAGGTGTGCACAATCACAGGTGGAGCGAGTGTAGGGAATGACAGAATGGGTCGGGTTGGAAGGGCCCACTCCTGCTCAGGCAGGGTCAGCCCGGAGGCACAGGATTGCATCCACACGGCTCTCGAATCTCTCCAGCCAGAGACACCCCACGAACTCTCAGGACAGTCAGTTCCCTTGTGCAGACACGGCACAGCACAGCTCTTCCTCGTGCTCAGGTGGAACTTCCCGTGCACCAGTTTCTGCCCGCCGCCTCTCGTCTCAGTGTCTGGCACCGCGGAGCTGAGCCGGGCTCCATCCTCCACCCAGCAGGGTGGTCCGCACAGCCCATCGCGGCAGCGCCGACACGGCTCTAACACCACCCCGAGGTTATTTTCTCCGCAATTTCTGTGGAACCGTGCGAAGCCGCAGCGGCCCGGCCTGACCCGACTTGGGGACCGGCGGCCGGGGAGCCGCGGCCACGGCCGATGCCGCACCACGGCCCCGCCCGCGCCTCAGCCCCGCCGCGCCAGCGCCCGCCCCTCCCTTCCTGCCGCCGCCCCTCGGTCCGCCCCGGGCCGGCTGCGCTCCGTGCCGCCCTCGGAGCCCGCCGAGCCGCCGCACAGTGCAGCGCCATGGCCCGCGAGGAGGCGGCGGTGGCCGGCGAGGAGGTGGCGGCGGGCGAGGGCGGCGGGCTGCTGATGGAGATCGTGGGCTCCCCGCTCAACCTGAGCCTGCTGGGCCTCTGCCTCTTCCTGCTCTACCAGATCCTGCGGGGCGAGCGGCCCGCCGCACCCGCGGGCGAGGCGGACCCGCCGCCGCTGCCCAAGATGAAGCGCCGCGACTTCACGCTGGAGCAGCTGCGGCCCTTCGACGGCGTGAGCGACCCGCGCATCCTCATGGCCGTCAACGGCAAAGTCTTCGACGTGACCCGCGCCAGGAAGTTCTACGGGCCCGGTGAGGCGGCGGCTGCGAGGCGGGCCCGGCCCGCTGTGCCCGGGGAAGCGCGGGGCGGGTCAGGGCCGGTGCTGGCCGGGAGTCAGGGGCTGATTCCCTCGGCGGGGATCAGCGCTCCTGCCTGAGCCCATCCCGGCCCCGGTGCGGGGGTTTGGGAGGGCTCGGCGTGCTTGCCGCTGCTGCGGCGCTGGCAGAGCTGCGTGCCGGCGGGCAGCGTGACTGCTGCCGCCAGGGCTCCAGCCGGGCCCCGGAGTTGTAGAAACTCCGGCTTTGCCAGTTTATGTTGTTTCGTTATTCCCGGTGCTTTCCCATGGCAGGCTACACTACTGTAAGAGGTTGGGCGGCTTTGTCGGCCTGGGTTGCCTTCGCCTGATGGCAGGCAGCAGAAGCGAAGTATTCTCTCAGTGTTGACATTCCATTCCCAACTTTTAGTGGGTATCACTCTATTGCGTAATATTTATACTAAATACTTGGCAATTTAGATTAAACCAGCTTTCTATCAGGAGCATAGTTCAAACGTGCAAAGATTGAATAACCTATGCTCTTAGAGCAGCCAGTGATGAGGGGGTGGGACTGTGTGCACCCTGGTGAAAGAGTTTTATCACCTCCAGAGGCCATGGGGTTTTATTTTTATCAGACAGCTCACTGGGGCTTGCTGATTTGTACCAGGATCTGCCTGGCATTGCCACTCTTGAGCTGTCCAGACAGCCTGGTAGCTGCAGTAGTGAGCTGCCGGTCCTACTTAAGAGACAAGGAGAAAAATGCAGGAGACACCATCTTTTTGGAGGTGTTATCAGTTACTACTTTTGGGGCAAACATAGATGAGACTGTCACTGAATGATGCCAGGCTGTAACTTTGCATTCTGCAGCAGTCAGGATGATAGGTACAGTGAAATAGATGTGCAGTTTTGTATTTGTGCAATTTAAAATCCAGTTGACATAAGGACCAAGCTTTAGATGCTGCCTTCCTTGATGACAGTAAAAGCTGCCTGTTGCATCTGATTTGGTAATTGCTGAATGGTTCATCACAATGTCTGGCTGGTTTGATTTTCATTTTAATGGAAAAGTAAGATTATTTTGATTCATTTAGGAAAAAGCATGCTCTGAAAGTTGGCATGTGCTCTACAATAACCAGAGTTCACATCTAACTTCTTTAAGCTCCTTTTAGAAGAACTTTGAATGTCTAGTTGAACATGCAGTATCTCAATTTTTGGCTTGTCATGCAAGCAAGTTTATCATTAATGAAGTTTAGCAAGAGTTTATCTTGATGTCTCTTATCTGCTGTGAGTTTAATGTTTTGGTCATTTGAGTTCATCTTGCATTTTGTTTTAATAGATGTTTCCTCCAACTTGATAATTTCTAGTAGCTCCACTATATTTTATGTCCAACCATGCTTTCATCTCAAATCAGGAGTATCCATTAAAAAACTTTCATTTCACCCCAGACATAGAAATCCTTCCTCTGTTCCTTATTCTAAGGATGTGTGTCCCAGTCTGTATGCTTATCCTCACCCTGTTTTTATGTGCCATGCACCATTGTGTGGTTCATTGTCCTGATGTTTCAGCAAACCTCAGCATCTTTCTCCATTATTTTGTTTCTTGTCCTCTTCCTCTGTTTTCTCTTATTACCAATTAGAATAAAACTTTGAAGCATTTCAGAAGCTTGAGCCACCTGATACATGGCTCAGGGTAGAAACTCATCATCTCTTTTAGTTTGTAGACTCTGATCCATGAAGGTAACATAGCTTCCATTACCTCTGCAATAATGTTGCTTACTTTTTTATTTTAAAGAGGGCCCCTATGGGATTTTTGCTGGAAGAGATGCATCCCGAGGTCTTGCCACTTTCTGCCTGGATAAGGAGGCACTGAGGGATACCTATGATGACCTCTCTGATCTCAACGCTACACAGCAAGAGACCTTGAGGGACTGGGAGTCACAGTTCACTTGTAAGCAATTTTAAACCTATTTACAAAGAAGTAGTTAACTGGTAATAGGGGAAGCAATAGCTAAAAGGCTGTAACCAGCTGGTAGCTTCATACATATATATATGTGTATATATATATATATATGTATGTATATATGATGCAAATTGCATACACCAGTAGTTAGTATAGTGGAAATAAAATGTGTTTTCTTTTTAAATCTAGTGTTGAAAGATTTACTATAACCAGCTACAATGGAGTTTTCTCCACATGATGTCATTAGAAATCTCTGTCCTGACCTGAGGTGCCCCTACTATTTTGGCCCTCTTCCTGTTTTAATTAAGACTGTTAATCACGCCACACTGAATGTCTGTTTTATTATGCTAACAAGCTTGTTGCAGAAACCAGAACTATGCTATCAAATATATGACTTGAGCTAGTGTTAAAATCTACCTTTCCAAGTGTTGAGCATCAGGACTGACAGTGAAGTCCACTCTTTTTATTACTGTGTTCCTATGAAATATGGCAGGTAGTTGCTTTAAATTGTTATAACAACATTGCTAGTCTGAAATACCTGAAATCAGGGTTCTTTTGCTTTGTTGAAGTTGGCAGATAGGCAACATAGCATAGCTCTCAGTCCTTACATGTCTTGGCATTTTTACATGCTCAAAAGGAGATATAAAATAAATCAGAGGCTTAATCACATAATCGGATAACAGACCCATCTCTGTCTTTGGGAGAAATTATCTCCCTTCTGTCCTATTGAATATTTGTAATACACACTACAAAAAATAAAACCCCTTCCAAGTTGTGTGTATGTGTGCACATATATCTGCATGTTTAATAGATGTGAATAGTCTAACAATGCCTTTGGTTGAAGAACCAGCTTTGACATTGGCAAGAGAAAATCTAATCCAGGATTCTGTTTCCTTGGCTGGGTAAATCCCTCAGTTTGTATTTATTCCTCTTTTGGTTTAGGCAATAAAATGAGAGTTACATTCACTTCACATGATTCTTACGACATCAGTAATAGTAGTTCAGGTAGAAGTTGATTTTAGCTTTTCTCCTTTCCCCCAGTGTTTGGAACAAGTTGCTCAGAGCTGTTTTATTGAAATGTAGTTGTCCTGCTCATTCAGAAAACAGTTGGAGGAGTTTAAAAAAGTGTCTCTTCAGGGCAGAAAAATTACTTGGATTTCTTTTTTATTCCCCAGTTAAGTATCATCATGTTGGTAAGCTGCTGAAGGAGGGGGAGGAACCCACTGTGTACTCTGATGAAGATGAAAAAGATGCCCAGGATGCAAAGAAAGAGTAGATACTGCAGTGAGGAACAATCTATTTTTGAACCATAATGGATCATTTGTAACATTCCACTTCTGTTTCACAAGGTGCAGCAGCATCCAGGCTTACAAAAGGTCCAGAGGTACAGTGAACGGTTTCTTTTCAAAGATTTCCTTTTCAAATTCAGTGGGAAGCTTCTGAAGGTCTATGATGTCTTCCTTTAAACCCACATAATAAGAAGTATGCATGACAAATGTCTGTGCACAAGTAAACTGCAATTTTGGCAATAAAGGACTATTTTTCTGCTATCACCATTTAGTGCAAAGTAGGTGGAAATCAAGTTTTTCATTACCAGCCTGTCACTGTGGAGACAAGCACATGACTCACTTCATATATGCAACATAAACACCACTAATTCTTCTTTTGTGTTAGCTTCTGCAGGATCTGGCAGATCTTACCTGGGTTGTAATTCCTTTAGAAAAGGGACTGTATTTTGTTTGTCCACAAAGCATCATACTAATTTGTTGTGCAGTGTAATTCATTATTATGTAAAATAATTTGGCTTTCAAGGCATTTCATTAGTGACTTACAGATGAAACACTAACTGCTTTTAAAAAAGATTAAGAATTTTTGTGAGGTTAAATCACTTTTAAGTATTTAATGAGGACTGATGAATGCTTGATGTATTCAACATGCATAATTCTGCACAGACTAATATTCTCTGTTCACTTTTAAAGCACATGTAGTGTTGAAACACTTTAAAACACACATAGTGTTACAGAAGTTTAGACAATGAGTGGAACTAGGCATCCTTAAAGGTACACCATGGAGTGTGACTTGACTATTGTTCATTTGATTTTCTTCTTAGCAAAAAGCGCTCCTGTGAATGTTAATGGAATTATATTAAACATGGAAGATCAGCTGCTCTTGATTCCTAGGCCTAAAAAAACAAGAAGTTACTGGTATGGTATGATTAGCAAGTGCTCTTGTACATGCACCTTTACCTGGCAGAAAAACATTGCTGGTCAACATAACGTATATAAGTTTCCTCTACAAAGTAAAACAGCGTAAGCTGTTTCTGCATTGAGGCCTTTGTTGGTTTGGAATGTTGCCATTAAAAGAAATGACACAATCTCATGCATAAACAGCAGTGCTATACCTGTGGACCTGACCTTTGAGTTGATTTTTACTTATTTGCTCTCTTGGCTTATTTACTCTATGCTTAATTACTAGGTTTTTTCTAAGTGACCTGCCTCCTACCAGAGAGGTCTGGGTAAATGGATATGACCAAGGAAAAACGTAAATGTTCATCATCCAAAATACTTCTGTAAAACTTTCTTTAAAATTCCAAGATAACTAATGATTTGCTCATCACTTGTGAACTTGTTTCCTGTCCAGGTGATTCTGCTAGTGCAGAATATCCAGGGTGCCTGTCTGGTGTAGTTCCCTCCGTTTAATTTCTCTGACTCGACTGTCTGGTTTTTTCAATTTGGCAATGTGACCAAAATGATGAACTGAGTCCTGAGTAGGAAGGTGTAAACTAGGCAAAAGTGTTCAGAAGTAGAGTGTGTTGCACAACAGCAGCTTTCATAAACAAGTTGACACAACCTATCAAAGTGCCTGAGACCATCTGTGGTGAGAACAACTGACTCTCCCTCAGTCCCAACACTGTCCTGGGATTTTCTTTTGGTTGCACTGGGCCTTCCAATGAAGAGCGAGGTTGTTTGAGCCAGAGCTGTGTAAAGTAGTACTGTATGAACTACCTGACAAAGGTCTAGAGACACACATAGACCTTGTCATGACCTTTGTGTTGCTATTTTATTTTTAGAGACATTTATACTCTTTGCAAACTACTACTAATGGTTTACCTCAAATTGGAAATGTGCTTTTATTTGTTTAAGGCAAAAAATAAAATACTCTTGCATAATGGTGGAGTTTGTTTTTATTTACTGCAACCAAATGTTATATTTTATTATTATATTTAATACTCCCCTACTGGTTCAAGTTTTATGAAGTCTCTGATCTGTCACATTATCCAATGCATAGAGTTAGTAAAATATGTTCTAATGGAATGCTTGTAAATGCAGTTTGCTAGTAAAATTTTAACAGAATATTAAATAGAGAACATGCTCTATTGCAGAAAAAAACCCAAGTAATCGTTAATACTGAGCAAAAGCTGGAGCTTTGGAAGGCTGTAACCTACCCTTAAGTGGATCCAATCACCTGACTAAAGTTACTCTGTAACATCTTCCGAGGAACTGAAAACTATTCTAAGGATTAATCTGTACATCAGAACGCTATGCATCACAAAGAAAAGTAGCAATAAAAATGATGCAGAAAACATCAGGTTTTTTTTCATTCAGTAACACAGGACAAAGCTCATTGTTAATACTTCTTGGGGAGGAGGTATGACACTTTGGTAAGACTGTTACTTTTTCAGGGAAAACAGAGAATTTCTTGGGAAAGGAGAAGCAGCATGTCACAAAAGCTGCTCATAAAGTAGCAGGTATGGGTTTTACTTCCTTCCAAAGTGCTGAAGAAAATGCATGGGTTTTAGCTTCCTTTGTAGTCTGTTCATTACAACTTGAACCCTTCCTTCAGCAGTGACTGGCAGCAATGACTATGCAAAAAGAGCCATTTCAGGCACCTTATCAGGCTGTACATTAACCAGGCAGGACATGATGACCAATTCAAGGCAGAGAATATCACTAATCTCCCTGATCTGACATGTCCAACACCTGTCACAAAGATCTACTCCAGGACAAATCAAAACAATTGAGTCATGTCTTATTTTCAACCATACTTTTTAACTGCTTTGTAAAATTCAGGTATTCTTTTACCTGGACTTCACCTGCCTGTAATCACCTTTATTAGCTCTTACTTCCTACTGTTTCAGTTAAAAAAAAGTTCAGTATTTAATGCTTCTGTTGAAAGTTACGTAAGGGGTTTTATGAAAGGTGAGGTATTTCTATGCATTGCCTGGAATCCCTGGATTAAGAACAAAGGGCTTTATATTATAATTGCTGTATTGTATTTCAAGCAGATGGACTGGTTTAAGAATGGGCCTTGTGTACTTCTGCTTTAAAACCAGCCTGTAGGATTTTGACTTCAGCATTCAGCACAAGGTACATAAACCCACAGGTCACATATTTTCAGCAACCAAGCATTGTTCAGCCCACTTCTCTTCATACCAACTCTATGAGGAAGCATTTTCACTAGTTCTGCACAGAAAATTAGACTTGATAGCAAGATCTGCAGTCTCAGGGCCCGACTTCATGCATGTCAGAGTAAACAGTGTTTCCATAAAAAGCACCCAGCCTCTTGAACAGCAGCTGGGCACAACAGCAGGTTCAAACTGAAAGGTGTGAAATTATACCAGAAATGTTCCACATTTCCACTGCTGAACTATATAAATGCTACTTTTAATGCATCTTTTCATCTAATAAAATAAATGTTTTAATTGCCAAAACATTCTCTAACTTCCATACGTGGGATGTGACATTTATATCTATAACAACTAAAATCCAATCTACAAAGCCATGCATTTTAAAAGTTTTAAAGCAAGCTGTTACATGTATCTTTAAAGATTAGCCTTCAGGATAATAATACCATATTAAGCAGGCCAGTGTATGAAAAGATGGGGCTCATATTAAATGTGCTGACAGGAAATTCTTCCCTGTGAGTGTGGTGAGGCTGGGGCAGAGGTTGCCAGAAGAAACTGGATGCCCCATCCCTGGAAGTGTTCAAGACCAGGTTGGACACTGCTTGGAACAATGTCCAAACTTGGAGCAATCCAAACCATTCTATGATTCCTTGAAAAGTACACCTGAAATCAGGTTCTAAATAATGTCAAATAGGAAACACAGAAGTTCTCTTCTGGTATGAAGATTACAATGATGTCTCACATTTTAAAGTGCATGCATATTTTATTAACTAACAATGCTTTAGAGGGAATGAGGAATTGGGAGACAAAGCAAATCCTCTATCAATTTCAGTCAATACAGGTGAAGACCTGAAGCAATTACAGAAATGGAGTATTTATTTGTTATTAGTTATTGTGACAGCATGTTGATAAAACACTGGAAGTTTACACTGAAGGAAATCTTTAGTTCCTTCTCTCCCAGATTAACAAAAAGAAATACTTCCTCACCTGTCACCAAAAGGCCTGTCTCATGGGAAATGGGTACTCATGGACATAAAACTGTGTATAGATTGACAGGGGGGAAGTTCTGAAGTTCTGTTATCTTTAATCTGCAAATATTGCATAGAGAAAAAACACCCTTGGTATGTCACATCAGTGCAACTGAAAACATTTTACACAGTCAACAAATACAATAGTCCCTCTTCATTATAACTGTATAAAATACTAAAGGGGAGACTTAAGAGGGCATAAGCGTTCTCCAAAAGTCAGAAAATATTTCTGTCAAGAAAATAACATTTTTTAGATAAAAGTAACAGATTCACAGTACTTTGAGTAGCAACCATTTGTCATTCATGACCCTGAAAAGGCACTCAACATCTGAACATATGAACAGAAAGACTGATAAAACCTGGCTTAGAAGCCTGTAGGAATCACCAGTATTGAAGGGGGGGCGGGGGGGAGAACCTATCTACCACAAACAATTACAATTATTCTTTTTTATTACTATTTATTAGAGCAGAAGTTACAAACATGGGCAAGATCCTATGTAATGAAGGCAACATTTTCACATTAACTTCGTCTACTGACATGTAATAAATAAAGCATAATAAAATGAAAGCTGTAATAATCAGTGTATTGAACTTCAAACTCTGTACCTTGCTAAGGGACTATGTCCAAAAGCAATTGTGGCTGTCTTCTAGATATAGCCAGATGAATAAATATGGATACAAATCAAGCTCCTAGACTGCATTTTCCCATTTTTACCTACATGCAGCACAACTCTGACAACATTTCACAATTCCTCTGGAAAGCATTTGTAGGCAAACTCATGCTAAACAGCTACCTCACTATATGTGCCTTCAAATTCTTGTGAATTGTAAACCTGCATTTACATGGGGACTGTCAGCAGGCTGACATGCGCTGCCCTTTCATCATCTAACACCCAGAGCTTTGCTTAGACAACCATTCAGATTCCTGGAAGCACTACACTGAGCATAAGTTCAATGAAATCCTCCCGAAAGTCAGCAAGTTTTCAGAAACACCTGTAGAATAGTGAATAGAAAACAAGGATTCTTCTAGTGTGGGTTTTACAGAAGATGGGACTTCCTTCACATTTGGAAATCTATTACTTCTCAAAATTGAGTATAAATGTCCCCCACACCTTCCAGTCCCACCAATATAACAATCTGATAGAGGAGGCAATTCATATGCTTGTTCAAGGATTGACAATTAGGTTTTTTCCCAATGACTCATTATTAGTAAATACTGTAATTTACATGATTCTCTGCATTCAATCAAAGTGTAATGCTCCAAGATCTCAGTCTGTGTCCCTTCAAGTTCTTTAGCCACTAGTCCATGAAAGTTTGTCCTGGCTCTGGGGAAAGTTTTGGTCCAAAAGTTATCCAAAAGGCAAACACAAATTCTGCTTCTGTGTCTCACTTCACCAGTTTGATATCCTAACCAAAGGAATTATGTAAGAAAAAAAAAATCGAAAACCAACCCAGTAGTTCATATACCTTTTAATGATCAAAGGGATTTCTTCTCCCCCTTGTTTATAAAAACTTCAGAGCTATAATACAGTAGCTGTTCAGCATCCTCTTCTGGGCTCTCCTCCACAGAAATTATCTGAGAAGGGGTTTGTCTGAATTATCTCAAGAGGAAATAGAGGGCATCCTCTGACATCTGCATCCATCTCTCTTCTCAACATTAATTTCCTCTCATCTCCTGTAGATAAGAAAAAGTTACTTGAAATGAGTTTGTCAGGCAGGCAGGGTGGGAAAGGGTAAGGGTATCCACTGGAAGCACAGTAAATTGTAAAAAAGACTCTAAGAACAGCCAATAGCAATCCTGTATGAAAATCAGATTTATTTTAGCTATGTAAAAATTTATTCACCTGAGACAGTACTTCCTACACAGCTGTGCCACACATTGAACTGTCTATCAATGTTTTAGTTGTCTAAAGCATGTTGTCACCAGAATAACCACTATCTGCTAATGCCCAGGACAGATACTGTGCTACTCAGTTAATTAGACAAATATTACTCTTGAGCTGCAGCTCTGTGTTTCAGAGCTAAACTGAACAAACCCTTCATTGCAGAAAAGTTGCACTGGGTTTTTTTTAATGCCATGCTTATACCTTTTAAAACCAAAAACCATTCATCACTGTAAGAACTCTGGCAACCTCACCTGCCACAGACCTGTCAAATTCAGTCCCCTTAGGTGTGGTGTCCCCCTCTCTCACCTCTCCTCTTGGGGGTCTCCTGAAGGGGCGAGCCACCATGAGAGGTAACATCTGGTGCTGCCACAGAGGTGTGATGTGTCTTGAATTTCACTTTTTTGTGCAACATTTTCTTACATTTTCTCTGTATCTTTCTGAGCGACTCCAGCTGCATGCAACTGTCCGTTTCTGAAAAGCCACATTCATCAGATAAAAGATTAGAAGAAAGCTTTTTTCGCTTTTTCTTCATTTTATGAGCATTTTTCTCCTTTTCCCTGGATTGTCTCTCACTTTTCTTTCCTTCATATCTTAATTTACTACTAGATCTCTTGCATGACTTTTTAAGTTTATGTTCACACTGCCTTGCCAAGCCCTCATGGACAGAATTAGAACAGGAGTTATATTGGCCGATTTCCTTCTCTTGGCCTTCCAGAACTACATTTTTAGGGTAAACCAGTAATTCTCTTTCCCCAGCTCTTGCAGACAAGCACCCTTTATTACAACTGCTGTAAATTTCTTCATACCTTCTTTCTGCTCTCTTCACTGAGCCGCCACATGCCTCTCTAAA